GTGTTACCTCCTCCACTTGTTTTGGGCGTTTTGTGTAAACAGAGGACGATGAGGCCTTCCGAGTTTTTTACTTTTAACCTTTTTGGGGGTTCTTTGATTTTTTTTGTACAAGTTTACGTTTTCTTCTATTTGCATAGTTAACAGCTATATTGTATACAATATTTTAAGATTTTTTTTAATAAGAAAGTGTTTCATTTTACCATCTTTGTATAGTTGTCATGTTCTCTTACTTTTAGGCCATGTACTTTTCCGTATTTGAACAAATTATTTCATGAATCTTTTATACTTGTTGGATTCATTTTGATATTTAGATTTATTTTTGAGGCTGAGAATTCGAATCTTGTTACAAATGACTCTCCAAAACTGCTTGGGTCTTGTTGAGATATCAACGATGCTGCCTTAGGTGAATTAACTTGGCCCATTGATAACGTTCTTTCTTCTAATTTTCAGAATTATTGTTGTATATGAGATTTTTAATTTTTATAATTTATTTGATTCATTGTATACTTTAATTTTTTTGTAACTAAAGCATTATGTACAAATGTCGATATGTTGTCTACACATTTTTGAACATTTAAAACCGTTTATCTAATAGGCTAATCCACGAGATCAGTATTTTTTTTCCCTCTAAAGTTATATATGTAATTCATATATTCAATAGCTTTAAATCAATTTAAAACGATTCAAAAATCTACATCGTTAGGTACAAAATTTACATAAATAATATCGAGAAGGTAAAGCCTAGCAATACGTGATAATATATCCGTCTTTGAGTTACACACGATCATGGGATGTGCGACGTAAAGAAAAGAAAAAAACTCAAGTTTATATCTACTCTTATGAACGTGATAATATATCTCCTCTTCGCAAATTTTTCCAAAATGTATAAAAAAAAGCTGGCCATTCCGTCGGTTGAGATAGAAGAATGGTTTATATCCAACCAAAAGATAATAAATACCCCTAGTACTAATTAATAAAGATGGACCAAAATTTATTACAAGTTAAGAACGAACACGATTGTTCGTTTATTTCCCCTCACACGGTTTATAATTTTTTCTGGTTACGGAATGTACAAAAACGCAAGATTTCACGTCAAATTGGAAGAGGACAAAATGCCAAATACCACCCTAAGCGATTAACTAACATTTAACATTTACAGGAAAAATGATATTTACTATTATCTTTGGCAACGGGTACACTTAGTCATTTTCTCAATCTTTACGAGGAGGTGGAATCAATATCGTAAAGGTAGACTTTTAATCACTTAACTAAAATACTTTCACCGAAATCATTTATATAAATTAGGGAGTATTTTCTCCATTTCAAGTATCTATCTAAGCAAAACATTTTTAACAATAAATTTTATTTAAAATCTTCAATTTATTATGTTTATGTTGTTACTTATAAGTTATAACTCCTAAAAGTTTGTGT